TCTCAGTCCCTGTGCCTCCGTCTTTATAATTGCATCAGACTCATGCAGATCCTGGTAGTGGTCATGTTACTGTGTGCCGCTTCTAACGTGTTTTCTCCCTCTTAGGGACCAGCACGAGAGACCTTCTGCTCTCCAGCTCTTGATGCACTCCTTCCTGAAGAGAAGCCAGTGAGCACGCACCAACTTCCCAGTCTAGACTCCCCGCCCCCACTCCTGGCTCTGCTGTGGGGAATGATGGTTAAGGGATGTATTTTCCTATGATAAATTCATCCTAGCCCAATCTAACCAGATCCTGCAGCATCAATGGCAAGTTTTAATTAGAAACTGACCTTAAACGTCAGGCATGATTGTTTATGTGCAAGAGAAGAATTTCATAATAATAATTTTTAAAAACCCACCCAAACCACATTCCAGTGTTTACAATTTTGATTGCCCAAGAACTATCTCTATTGCTTTACATATTTCTTTCAATTTTTTTTTTGAACAGGGTCTCACTCTGTAGTTCTGACTGTCCTGGAACTATGTAGACCAGGTTGGCATCAGACTCACAGAGACCAGTCTGCCTCTGCCTTGGAGTGTTGGGATGAAAGACATGCATCACCGTATCTGGCTTACTTCCTTTCATTTTAATAGTTTAAAATAAATCACACACATTTTACCTGATACTATGCTTATTTATTTGTGCACATGTCTGTGTCTGCTTATATGTGTTTACGTGTGTAAATCAGAGATTGGCATTTGGTGTCTTCCTCTGTTACTCTCTACTTTATCTTTTGAGGCAGGGTCTCTCACTGGACCTGGAGCTCACCCATTGGCAAGACTAGCTGGCTTGCCAGCCCCAGGGATCCCGTCTTCACCTCCCTCGGGATGTTCTAAAAATTATTTTATGTGTGCCCGAGTGTGAGCACAGGTGTCCACAGAGGCCGGATGATGTCAGATGCCTGAAACTGAAGTTAAATACAGGTAATTGTGAGCCACCTGATAGGAGTGTTAGGACTGCACCCAGATCCTTTGCAGGAGTAGCATATGCTATTAACTCTGCGGAGCCCGCTCCAGCTCCAGCTCCAGCTCCTCCCCACTGATTTTTCAACTAGGGTGTGGGGGATTGAATTCAGGTGCTCAAGGTTGGACAGCGAGCACTTTAACCACTGGCTTATCTCCTCAGCCACCCGTGACGAAAAGAAGTCTGGAGGAAGTGGGGAAAGTAGGGTAAGGGATCCCAGGGATTGCTGACAAACCTGGTACCTGGCAGAAATATATATTATATAATATGCCATGCTTTAGCTACCAGACTGACTCCTGGAGCAATAGATCTCAAGAACTTGGAATTTCCCCAGGAATCTCACAATGACCTTCCATTCTAGAAACCTTAGGGTCTATACCAGGAGGAGTTGAGGGCCTTGTATTCTTTCCATCCCCGAATGCAGAAGTCTTCAAGAAGCTGGATAGGTGTTTACAGATCTTCACTGCTAAGCCTGCCTACTCTTCTAAGTTCTAGTTTTAAAAATATATCTTTTCGGGGCTGGAGAGATGGTTCAGTAGTTAAGAGCACTGGCTGTTCTTCCAGAGGTCCTGAGTTCATATTCCAGAAACCACAGGGTGGCGCATGGTCATCTTCTGGCATGCCAGCATATATGCAGGAGGAACACTGTATAATATACATAATAAACCTTTTTTTTTTTTTTTAAAAAAAGAACCCATACTAATTTTTCTTTTGCTTCTCTGTGTTGTTAATACATCTTCTTTGATGCTTCCTCACTGTTTCTCCGAAGACCCCCGTACTGGCTACTTTTATGTCATTTTGACGTAAGCTAGAGTCACTTGAGGAGGGAATCTCAACAGAGAAAATGCCCTGTGAGGTTGGCCTATAGGCAAGTCTGCAGTACATTATCTTAGTGATGGATGTGGCAGGGCCTTACCCACTGTGGGTGGTGCCACCCCAGGAGTGGTGGTCCAAGGTGCTAGAAGAAAGCAGGCTGAGCTGGGCAGTGGTGGGCACGCCTTTAATCCCAGCACTCAGGAGGCGGAAACAGGCAGATCTCTGTGAGTTCGAGGCCAGCCTGGTCTACAGAGCGAGTTCCAGGACAGACTCCAAAGCTACAAAGAAATCCTGTGTTGAAAAAACAAAATACAAAGCTAACAAAAACAAAACAAATAAAAAGCAAAAGTAGACCGAGTCTGAGCTGGTGAGCAGCCAGTAGGCAGAGTTCCTGTATGGCTTCTGCCATCAGCTCCCACCCCCAGGTTCTTTTCCCTGTCTTTCCTGTCCTGACTTTCCTCAGTGAAGGACTATGATGTGATAGGGCAAGCTGAAACAAATCCTTTCTTCCCAAGTTGCTTTTTGGTCATGGTGTTTTATCACAGCAATACAAACCCTATGACAACTCCCCTCCTCTCCTCTCTCCAGCTGCTGCCCACCTCTACACCCAGCCTTACAGGCAGGACTTTTCTTACGTCTCCCTCCTCCCAGCAGCTGTTGACACTGACCGCATGCCCATCCTGTTGTGTTCCTTTCAAAAAATTTTTTAAAGATTTATTATATATACAGTGTTCTGACTCCACGTATGCCTGCAGGCCAGAAAAAGGCTCCAGAGCTCATTACAGATGGTTGTGAGCCACCATGTGGTTGCTGGGAATTGAACTCTTAACCACAGTGCCATTTCTCCAGCCCATTTTTCAAACTTTTGTTTGTTTTTTGAGACAGTTTCTCTGTAGCTTTGGAGCCTGTCTTAGAACTCACTCTATAGACCAGGCTGGCTTCGAACTCAGAGATCCACCTGCCTCTGCTTCCTGAGTGCTGGAATTAAAGGCATGCACCACCATTGCCTAGCTTCTTTCAAGCTCTAAATGGTCCTAGACTGTTAAAAAAAAAAGTTCAAATAATTTAATTATTTAATGTGTGGTCATAACCCTCCGGCTGCTTTCCCTGCAGGTTTCTAGTTACACGACTTGACAGCTGCTCTTACTTCAGTGAGTCAAATTACATTCATAGGGAGAGCTAGCTAAGCCTAAAACAGCATGTAAGCTTGTTAGAGAATTCTGGTTACTTCGCTCGAGGTCACCTCCACTGTAGTTACTCAAAGTGTTTTCATTATGAAGATTATACACTTTTATATTGCTAGGATGTCTGATGTTTTGCCTACTAAACTTGAATTGTTTAAAGATTGTGCTCAGCCAGGCTGTAGTGCTGCATCCTGCTAATCCCAACACTTGGGAGGGAGAGGTTTTTTTTATTATTATTATTATTTAAAGTTTATTTTTCATTTTACATACCAACCCCAGTTCCCTCTCCCTACCCATTTCCCGCTCCCCTCCATTCCTCAGAGGGGGTAAGGTCTTCCTTGGAGAGTCCACAAAGTCTGACGCCAAAGTTGAGGCAGGACCAAGCCCTGTATCAAGGCTGAGCAAGGTATCCCACTATAGGGAATGAGTTTTTTTTTGTTGTTTTGAGACAGGGTTTTCTGTGTGGCTCTGTAGAGATCCGCCTTCCTTAAAGGTGTGCACTACCACTGCCCAGATAGAACTCGTTTCAATTTGCTATTTTGAACTTTGCAGCAACTGACTACTTCTGTTGATGACTGTTAAAACCTCTGGGGAAGCAGGGAGGAGCAAGGCATGTTTTCACTGTTACAGACCGCAGCAAAACACACTGACAGTCAACCCCACTTCTGCTGATGTAGAATCCTGCACAATTTTGGATGAAAAACCTTCAAAATAGTTTGGCAGTGCTGGGGAGATGGCTCAGTGAGTGAGGTGCTTGGTGTGTAAGCAAGAAGAGTGTGGGTCCCCAGCACCCACATAAAAAGCCACACAAGGTGGCATGCACGTATAACCCGTGACAAAGCAGAACAGCAAGATCATAGGGGCTCGTCGGCCTGTCAGGACAGCCAATTGGTGAGGTTGTCTCAAAACATACATCAGTAAACACTGAGTTTATCAACCTCTCCCCTTCACACAGACACAGGTGTACACAGAGACACACGCGGAACAAAAACAAGCTTACTCCAATGAGTGTGTGTATAGTTTTTCAAGACCAGGTTTCTATGTAGCTCTGGCTTGGAACTCTCTCTGTAGACCAGGCTGGCCTCAACCTCAGAGATCTGCCTGCCTCTGCTCCCCAAGTGCTGGGATTAAGTGTGTACCATTACATCCCATAGTTCACTTCATTATGTTTAATCTTCCTATAAACTGGGGCCAAGTTCAAGTAAAGCATAGTTAACCCCTAAGTAATTTTGTTTGGGTGGCTGCAGGAGCACATGTGGATAGGAATAGGTTGGCTTTTTTTCCTTAGGTGCTGTCTACAGGGTCTCTTATTTGTCTGGAACCCACCAACTAGGCTACACTAGCTGGTCAGTGAGCCCAGAGATGCCCGTCTACCTCACCGACACTGACATTACTAACATGGACCATGAGCCAGTGCAGTTTTAAGATTTTACCATTGTGTATTTTTACCTGTATGCGTGTGTGCCAGAGTGTATGTGGAAGTCAGAGCCCCAACTTTTGGGCGTCAGTTATCTTCTACTTTACTGAGGCTTAGGTGAACGAACTCCCAAAGGCAGTCCCTTGGGAGATACAGTGGCACTTGCCCCTCCCAACAAAAAAGTCCCCAAACTACTTAGGCTGGACACAGACTTTTATTATCATTATGATTAGCTCGTTTTCTTCCAGGCAGGAAGTACTGGAGAACTGGTGGAGTAAGGGACATCTTAAAAAGCAGAGTAAATCGGGTGTAGTGTGTAGTAGTGACACTCGGAAATGCTGCTAAGGGTGGTTCAAGGCCAGTTTCGGCTCTGTCTTGAGGCCAGCCAGCCTGGGCTACATGGGACCTTGCCTGTAGAGAGAACAGGGCACAAAACCCAGTCCTTTCCCCATGGCCATCACTGTCAGTTTGAGGCTGACCCTGGAGAGACCCTTCCTGGGTGAGTTCTAAGGTAGTCGTTCCCACTTCCCTCAGGAACTGAGATTTAGGGTTCACATTAACTTAACACGTTAGCCTTGGATTTGGTTGTCAATAAACAAACTTTATTAATAATAAATTCCTTATGTAATGAGAAGCTGAAATTCAACGGCTAATTCATGCCAGCATACACATTTTCTTGTTTCATTCCATTATCCACAAGGGTTTTGAATGTTCAAATTCCACTGTCCATAACAAATTGGTACTCCAGAGTTTTCTTAATCGAGGGAAGCTACTCATTATTGGGCCAATCAAATAACACAAACTACTAAATGGACTGGAGGATTTTAGGTGAGGCTTCCTCTCAAACCTTGGGAACAAGGGAAGCTACAGAGTTCACAGGATTGACTTTTGAGATTATTGAATTGCAGTGAATGGACAAAGCCTGCTTTATGAGAACAGAACTGGCCCTACCCATGCAGTCTTGGGCATGTCAGCACACCTCAAGAAAATGCCAGGCAGGAAAGATGGTGAATTATAAACCAGGAAAGGGGACTCACAAAGACCTGGCTGGGCACAATTTAAAACTGGAATAACAAAAGAACATAGTTGGAGCATGTCAGTACCACCAAGATCACTAATGATGAAGACAGGTATTTCCAACAAGTGTCTGACTTGGCTTTCACCTAACTGCTGAACTTGTACAGAAGCACCTACATTCTAAACACATACCCTAGTATCAATGGTCTCAATATGAAGTAAGAAAACCAGGAATGCATTCATGCTTTAACCCACCTATCTTAAACCAACACGCACAGAAGAGTTAAACTGGGTCCACTCACGTTCCCCTAGCGTGGGCTTTGCCGACTCTTCCCTATGTAAATGTGGTGAGTAGATCCTAATGCTGCCCAAGAAAGGCTCCTGAGGGGGAAACTGCTGAATCAAGAGAAATACCAAGCCAAAGAGTTTCCAGATTTTCCTCAGCAAAGAAATTCTCAGAATCTTCTAGCAAATTAAGCCCACCTTTTGAAGTCCTTTTTTCATTTAGATAAGACTGGAAATAACTTAAACACTGATCAAGGCATGGGTGAAGGCAGAAGAATGGATTAATTTAAAGCCAGCTCATATCCTTATTATAGAGTAAGACTGTGTCTCAAAAAACTCAAACCAGAAAGTTTCCTTTTTCCTAGATGTTATTTAAATGAGCCATCTACATAATGCAAGAACAAATCATGTTCCGTCCATATATAGGTATGGTTTATTCCTCAGGCTGGCTAATAAAATCAGATTTTAATTCCTCAGATAAGAAAATACACTTTTTGAAACCTCTTAAGGCAAGATATTTATTTATAACTAATTAAACATTTAAAGCTGGTTCTCTAAAGTAAATCCTAACAAAGGGGACAGACAGGCCCGAAAGTTTGGAGTCCTATATTACTACTACAACCATCTGTTGGTACAAAGGGTGCACTCACGACACCCCATACCACGGAAGACATCTGAGAAGGCTGAACGCTCTGAGTACCAGGAAGACTGAGATGCACACCCTCTGCTCTAAGGGTACCCGGGACTGGCACCACTGCCTTTCATTGCTACTATCTGCAACTAGAAGAAACGGCAAGGCCTTCTCCACCAGTGGACACCGCCACCGAGTTTGTGACGCAGGCCTCCTGAAGACTTTTGCAAACAAACATTCCTTTGCTTTGGTCCCGAAAACTGCACGTTAGTAGCTAAGGCAAATATTTAGGAAGCACATGTTGATTTTGGAAAATTGGTTGCTAGAGGTAGACAGGAAGCCTCTGGTTACAATGTGCTTTTGCAAAAGGGTCATGAACCTAGGGAAACACACCTTAAGAATGAATCACTCTTTTATAGGACGATTTAAAGATAATGCTTTTTAATATTTTCAAGTATTAAAAAACTCATCAAAAATGTATCACCTTAACAGTACTTCGCACATGTGAAAAGTCACACCTAAGTTTGATACTATTTTGGTTATTTATGGCTACTTACAAGACTCACAATAGAATGTCCATTCACTGAGTCTTTTTTCTTTGGTAGAGTCTAATGGGACCATGCAGATGAACTATTTTATGCAAACAAGATGTTTCAAGCAAATTCATGATGATATGACACATGAGGGTTTTCCTTAGTGGAAAGGAAACTTAAGAAGATTCACACATTTTCCCCCATTGTGGGTTTAGCATCTTGTTCAGAGGTTGCAGAGTTGGAATAGTTCACACAATCCTGTAAAAATCACGACTGACTGCCTTTTAATAAATAGTCATTGTAAAGAATTACATTTACAGAGTGAAAAGTGAATACATAGCATTTCAAAGTCAATTCTGGAAGTACTAAGTGTACTGATCCATAGCACATACACTATCTGTTTAACTGTCCATCATTAGCACCAATAAGATTCAACAAAATTACCTTTATTCCCATATCTAAAAAAAAAAAAACCAACCAAAAAACAACACATTTCTGAAAATCCTTAGTGAAGTTTAACTATAGTCCCAGATCTTAAATATTCACATTGTTTTCTATGTCACACTGAAAATAAGTTCACTACTTTTCTGGACACTCTTTACAAAAGCTGATTAAAATTCCTGGCATCACTCCCAATGATACAGTAGCATGACCACCCCATGTCAGTTCACATGATGCTCTGTCGAGGGTTCACATCTAAGTCACCAAGAACAAAACCCTTCCCTCCCTCACCTTGCACTGTTTAATTCTATGCTAGTCCTTGACTATTAGCACAGTGACACTGTAACTCATCAGAATCCCCATGTTTATGATACAATAGTATACCACACAGCAACAAAATCACATAGTAGCAGATTACTGATGCAAGACAAAACAGAGCGAGGATGAGCCTGCTAAGCTGAGTTCCCACAAAGAGGCTCCTGACATCCCAAAGTCAAACAACATTGACAAAATAATCAACCATTTTCTTTAAAAAAACAAAACAAAACAACAAAAAGCTACAGGCAAACTAAGTAATTGCTAAATAAAAGTAGAGTACAAGGTTCAACTCTAATATTTACAAGCACAACATACTTGAATAAAATTACAATTGTGCACAGATCAGTGGCTTTATAACAAAACAGTTCATATACAGAGAAAAATTGTGATTCAAGACAAGTTGAATCCGACCCATTTTAAGAGACTCAACAGCTAAGACTTACCACAGAAATAAATTCAAGATTAGGCAACAGACAAGAGCCATACTATTGGTGCTTACACCAAAATTTAGACAAGCTGGTCTATCCCCTGACCAGGCGTCAGGTGACAGTGCAAGCGTCACCTTAATGAGAACCTACTAAGACGTGCAAACGAATGTAGAACCTCCAGCACTGGCTGGCCTTTTTCCTTACATTTTCCTGATAATGACCATAAGCTATAAATACAGGTACAATACACAGTCAGCAATGTTTCCTTTTTATTTATTGTTAGAATATAAAAGAATCAAGAGAGCATAGGTTTAATTTCATTTTTATAAGGAAGACTGCATTTACCTGAAAAAGAAATATGGTATCTCTCTCTTTCTCACCCCCACACTCACTCACTCTCTCTCCATGGGAAGAGTATATTCAAGACTATGGTGTCACTGCAAATGCTAAAGGAAAAGTGATCCCTGTTCACTGCTAAACTCTGTAGTGTCAAAGTTCTTGAAGAACTGGACCAATTCTTCACTGGGAGCTCCTGTGAGTTAAGTCACAGTCATCCTCATGCCCATTATTAACTGCTCTTCTATAGCACTGCAACAAGCCAACAAACATTTAAATGCACTTCACATCAAGTGTATGTAAACTTTATTATTTTTTTTCCTCTTCAAACCTTCAGAAATTAGGGGCTGACTCTGCAGCCAATCTGGTCAGAACCTCTGAAGGCAAACTGAGAGCTTCCCAGTGTTAAGGACCACCCGTGGCACCGCATCCCGTCTAGTAGTGAAGTGTCCCCTCAGCGGCTTCCAGTAAGGCCTAGAGTTTAAGGTTAACATAAAAAGTGCCACTTGTGTTTTAGATTAGTGATGGACTCTGACGAGAGAAAATAAAGTTATTCTGTATATTGTTATACTTACAAGCAGCTCCGATCCTGAGTATTTATGGTAATATCTAAACATACAAAAATGTATGTACATTTTTCTCCACTTTCTTGTAAACAGTTGTCAGTATTCTGTTTTATCCCTTTATCACTGAGACATGCAAACCATACATACAAGTATAAATACACAAAAGAAAAACAATTGACACTCATTCAAAGCCAAGCAACAACAAAAAACAGCTACAGTATTCAAATTATAAATAACAAAAGCTTGAGGCAGCTTAGATTCCTAGCAGCAGCCAGCCATTCATCCTAATGTTCTTAGCTGCATCTTCCATGCGTTTACAGTACTGTAACACTATCGTATGTGGAGATAGACTTGTTTACTATCATCTCTTCTTTTCAGAATGAAGAAAAAAGCAGCACTTACAAATATGGAAGCAGTGGCACCACTGCTGGACCAGGAGGAAATTTTCCATTCCAACCATTTTTAAATTAAAAAGCAAAGGAAAAGTTGACCTAAACAAATGATTACATATTCATTCCTTGGGCACTTAGCAGCGAGTCCAGCATGTCGAATGTGTCTTTGTAGTCCAAATGCTGGCTGCTTGTACTGTACTCGTGATTGGCCTCAGGACCGTGGGGCTCCACTGGTTTCTTGTCCAGTTTCACGAGGGTGCTGAGATGTCCGTAGCCCACCTGGTATGTGACAGGGGGAGGAGGGGGTAAGGGATGGTTAAAAACAGAGCTGTGAGAGGATAGATACTGCTTAACAGAGGAAGAACTAGATGAACTACCTGAACTTTTGGAACTTTTGCTCATTTTGGAGTGGTGGTTGTGGGAGGCATCGTTGATATGCAGCTTCTTTCTTGCACTGGAGCCGGAGGAGATGCCATCGGGGCCCAGGCCCACAGGACTCCTCAGCACCGTGGGCGGCATCCCATCAGCAGCATGCTTAGCGCCTCCACTGTGCATGTGCAAGTGCTTGTGGCTGCTGTGGTGGCGGTTGGCGGGGTATTCCTTGTGCTTCTCTTTGTGGTCTCTGCTGATATGTGGGCTTGAGTGTTTGCTCTTCCCACTGCCTTCATCTGAAGAGCTGTGTCTTTCTGAGGACGACACTTTGATCTTCATCTTCAGCTCTTCTTTACTGGGACCTTTATCAGGGGGCGGGATGGGTATCCGTAACTTCAGCGATCCACTCTTCTCCTTTTTCTCTGCCATGTGTTTCTCAGGTTTGTCAGAGTTGGTGATGGGAAGTTTCATTTTAATGGGAGAAGTGACAGAACTGCCTGCGACTGCTGGCCCATGTTTGTGCTGTTGCTCTGCATGGGCAGCTAAGTAATGATCCCTTGTGTCCAGGTCCAGGGTTTCCAGCTTCCGCTTTTCTCTGTACTTATCTAAAGACATTTTCTGAGGAACTACTCCAGGGACAGCAGGAACGGGCCCATGGTGCTTACTGCTCCCGGATTTGTGAGCGTATTCTTGCTTAGCTGATGAATGATCAGCAACTTTGTCTGGCCTGTGATGTAATCCTGAGTGCAGTGTCATAGAAGGACCCTGCTGGAAGCTGATGTATTGGCTCCCAGAGAGAGTGGCCTCCTGTTTCTGTGTGTATCCTGGGTCTGTCCTGGCTGAATCTGGATGTTGAGGCCATTCTTGGTGTGATGACAAACTGTACGAGGTACTGGGCATTCCTGCTGCCAGCACTGATAAATTATCAGGTGCACGGCTGTCTTGAACAGAAGTATTTCCTGAATTTAGAGGTATTGGAGCAGGGAACGTTGACGTTGAAGGTTTCTGGAAACTTGGGTTGGCAGGCACACCAGTGACACTATCTACTAAAAGGGAATTCTGGACCAAAGATGAACCAAGCAGTGGTGTCTCTGATACTTGTCCATCTACTTTTGGTTTCTTAGCCATAGCCTAGTTAAATGAGAAACAGAAGAAACAATGACAGCAAGGAAATTTAATAAAGTCTTTGCTTGTAAAACTCTATAGGAAGTATATTGAAATAAACCACCTGGACTCAAGCTCTAAGGCAATAAATGGATGTAACAGAAGACTGTAAGTTTTGAGAATTAGATACAATTATATCCTAACCCAGGACTTGAGATAGTAACTGGTGCAGGCTTTAGCCTCACTTGTAAAGCTACAAGAATTTCCCCATGACTAAGAATAAAAATAATTGAAAGATATATGATATAGAGTCCACTAGACGCAGGGATTAAACAACTATGAGCACCTGCAGTCCAAGCGTGGCACACTGTATTGGAAAACACTGCAAGGCGCAGTATTTAATCATTCTGTTTCAAAGCGTTCGCCAGGTGACTGCTAGGAGTGACAGATGGATATACTTTTGTTAAATCCTGCCAATTCTCTTACCCTCCAGTTTCGAATCCTCTTCAACCTACTAGGCGTTTTCTCCAATATTTGTAGAAACTCATGTGTTAGCTCTAAAAATAAAATTTAAATTTAAAGCTTAGACGGTGCCTTTAGGATCTGAACTTCTCTCAAGTGGGCAGCATTTAACAGGGGGACCTAACAGTGAATCTCTTTCACTGTTAACTTCCTATTCAGTTTTTAGCATACACAGAAGTAGATACAACTCTCAACTGTTTATTTCAAAACTGAATTCATTTAAAAAAGATCCCTCAAGTAGAAAAAGACAAGATCTCCTGAGTAAATTGGGAGCATGGGGACCATGGGAGGGGCTTGAAGGGGAGGGGAGAGGAAGGAATAGGAGCAGAGAAAAATGTAGAGTTCAATAAAATCAAAAAAAAAAAAAAAAGAGAGTCCCCCCTTTCCAGCATTTCACTTGCTTACTAAGAAAAGAAACTCTTGTGGAGGGTGGTGGTGAGAATCTCAACCAGACAAACAATATAGCAATGCTTAACGTAGAAACGAGTCACCAATGGGGTCTTTAAAATTAGCAGGTGTAAGTTTGAGAAGAAGGTATTCACTTGTATATCCCTAAATGTATTTTCCCCAACAGGCTATATATAAAGAGAAAGAATAGCTCTACAACGAGGAACTCAACAGCACCACTATTATTAAGTGACCAGAGCAGTGGTAAGACACACTAAGTGAACACCGTCCCATGCTTTAAGAAGCAAGCAGAACAAACTACTTCTGCAGCATTCTTGCCAACAATGCTCAAAGTCAGCGATGAAAAAAGTATCAGACAAATTGGAAATCACTCTGTAAAGTCACTTATTAGTCCTCAAATCAGAAGCAATGAGAGAGAGAGAGAGAGAGAGAGAAAGAGCACCCTGATAGCCTGGAGGTGACTATCCGGACATTTTAATTGGATACAAACAGAACATAACACCCCACACAGAGAAAATAGGGAATTCTGAACAGAACCAGGTTTAATTAGCACTATCAATACCAGTGTTAATCTCCCAATCTTATAATCAAATATTATATAAGACACTAACAACAGAAGCTATCCATCCATCCATCCGTCCGTCCGTCCGTCCGCCCGCCTACCCACCCACCCACCCATCAACAGACAGGGACTCATGCAGCCTAGGCTGGCCTGCGAGTATGGCCTCAAACTGACTCTTCTGGCTCAACTCCTAGGGACTTCTTCACTGAGGTCTTTCTTCCTTAGAGCTAATCTACAGACAGAATGAGATATAAACCACTTTACACATGCACCCACACTCACACGCAGAGACCCTCATAATTAGGCTAAATCTAAGCCAATGCTGTTTGGGGGCAGTTACTAAATGAGTAGCTTCAGGAAGTAATAATAGTAGAATACTAAAGACAACTCAAGACAGCTTGACCTAAACAGAAATTATGCTACTATTTTAATATATTGAGTTCCAACTTCCAAATCAATAATGAAACTGAGCCTATGCCTATATAGAATAGAAGTGGAGGAAAATACAGGTGGCTCTCATGTCATTGATAACAATAAGGTTATAATATCTTAGATATGACCTAAAAACAAGAAAAAAGGCAGATTACTTATAATCTACTGACTGCTAAGACAAGACAATGACATAGTAACCTGACTTTTTCAAGGCAGGGCAAAGGGGAGCAAATGAAAAGGCTGTTAATGGTGGTTTTTAGATTTTCTTTCCTCCAAATAAACTAGAAAACAAACAAACAAACAAAAAACACCCTAACCATTTAAAAATTGCATCTTCAGCTGGCCTTAGTTGGTTAGAATATGATGCAGATAAAAAAAAAAAAAAGGCATGAAAGGTGACCATGGAGGGTGGGGGGAAGGAGATTTACTTATTTCTCCCAAGAGGGAGAAAAAAAAAAACCCAACATGTTTTGTAAGTGGGGCAGGCCAACAACAGTCAGGCAAATGTGACCTGCAGACCCACTACTGGCTCATAAACTGCTTGTGGCTCCTTTCAGCTGACGTGGAGCTATATTTACAACAGAAACCCTACTGCCTCACAAACTCTAGAACTCAGGGCTCTGCACTCTCTATAGTAAGTCAGTACTTTTAATAGTAATCGAGGTAAACCCTGTCTCCCCATCAGCCCTCCTCTTGTAAACAGACTGGAAGCCTAAAAAACAGGTAAGCTGAAAACCTGTTCGTTGTCTATTTTCTTTCTGAAATCTAGCACCTGCTTGAGTGCCACTCACGCACCTTAACAATCTATCTTATGCTTTAATCAGCTACCACTGTCTCTTAACCAGAGACCCTCAAACCTCAAGTTCATAACTGGTAGGACTTGTACCTAGTTGTCTCCTAATTAATTAATAATGTAAGAGAACATCACAAGGAAGAAACCCCTTGGCCTAATGTTTCACAGTTTATATAGGAAGCTAGTACCCAACTGTGAGTTTACACTTCTAAAAGTGCTTGGTATTGAGCCTAGGACTTTATCTATTCTGAGTACACATCCATTACCTAGCTAGCTACACTGTGGTCCTAGTTGAAAAAAACTAAACCAGTAAGTTATATCTCCAGCTTATTCTTTGTTTTTATTTCTTTGAGACAGGGTCTCCCTGTGTATTTCTAGATGGCCTTGAACCCAGGATCTATCTGCCTTTGTCTCCCAATTACTAAGATTAACAGTACGTGTCACCACACCCAGTCCACCTTTATTCACAGTCCACCGACCTACAGTATTTAATGAGGCAAGGAGACAGATTAATAAAATTTAACAATTCTATTTATTGAGGAACCCCAAAAAGGTTTTGTGTGAACTGGTGGTTAGTAAACATTTCATGGTTAATATGGTTCATAGGTTCCTTACTGCAAAGTACTCTATACTTTTAAGTTCTTCCATCAAATTACTAAAATGGAATTAAATTCAGGCTGTAAAGAGACATTATCTTCTGAAATCCGGACACTAGTAAATTAAAGGACATCTGGGATTAATATTGAAGCCACTGTGGTGTACAAGTGGACTGACCAACACTGGCAACTGCTTCAGGTAGCTAGTGCATATACAGAAAAAGCTTACACTATAGTCTTCACATAGGAAAGGACCTCTTCCCTCTGCTTACCATCTAGCAGCTCTAGGGTAACTGTAGGGTCCACATATTCCCACCAGTGCTTTCCATCAGTTGACACAGGGATCTCCCAATTGGACCATTTGCAAGCCAAATGAATGCATACACATGCTATCACCGTGGGTTTGTACTGAAGACAGAAGGTCGTAAGATGCAAACTGGTGTAGAATGGATTTAAAAGTGGAGGGCCACAAAAATTCAAAATATGTAAAACAAAGAAAAACATTTGCCGTAAGACAAAAGCAAACATAAAATCAGAAGTGTTTTTCTTTACATAACAATATTCTATTAAATTAAGAGTGAACACTACTGAAAATTATAATAAAAAACCTTTAATAGATCACTTCCCTTATTCTCATCCCTCCACAGCATAGTAATATTTTATTTAATTGATTAATAATAATCATTTTTTTGTTTTAAAACCTAACAATCACACAAAGGTAAACCAGTATATTTACAATAATCATCATATACAAAATACAACCTTTTAAACCTTTTTTGTGGTAATCTTGGTTTGTTTTTTTAAACATTATGAAAAAATGTAAAGACATTATAAAACAAAGCAATTTTAATGGCACAATCAAAGACCAGACCATTCGATGTAACTTAACAGCAAAAGTACTTCTTAGCAGGTCAGAGCTGTTAGTCCCTGTTCATGTACATTTCTGTGTCCCCTTCCAGCAAAGCCTCAAAGAGAACTTACCTTTTGCAAAAAAAAAATTTCAATGCTCAAAATAGGTTAATACTAAGAAATACTATCTTTACTTTTCATTATATACCCAAAATTGAGCACATGACATTTTATAGGCTGGCTTTTTAAGCAAAGTTTTTTTAAATAGTTTTTGGAGACAGGGTCTCATGTAGCCCAGACTGGCCTCAAACTCTTTGCATAGTCAAGGACAACCCTGCTATCCTGATCTTCCTGTCTCTGTCTTCCAGTGCTGGGATGACGGGGCATGACACCATGGCCAGAGAACTAAGTTTTGCTACACCAAAAAGGTAGTTTGGTGTACTTCCACAGTGCCCACTTAAAAAACTTTCAACAATAATACCAACCCAGAACAGAATTATGCATTCAATTTTAGAGCCTCCTTCAAACTATTTTTCTAGTTTAGAATAGGTGAAACATACAAACACATACTACATTTTCACTTTCTATAAATGGAAATCGGGACTTCTGGAATAAATACTATCTCTGCTAGCTTAGGCACTGATGATATTTGACGACTTCTAATTTACTGTTTGGAATATTATCTAGAACAAGTCTCAAATCACATAAATTTTACTTAAGAAACTTTAGCAATTATTTTAAAAGACTGGATAAATGTGAAAATTAAAAAAAAAAGAAATGTCATTTAACTATAATTGTAAACTAGAAATAGCTTTATACTTACCAAGTTTCTAGGTTAAGTTTAGCTCTGTGTAATCTTTAGCTGCTATTCAGGCTACCAAGTTTAGACTTATGCACTCACAAATCGAGAATATGCCACCAGAAAGCACCACTACACTTCACAGTGTGCATTTAACCCCTCTGTGCCCAAAGTCCCTTGTACAATACACCGCAAAGCAACCAGGAAGGTACCACCACAGTAGATGGTCCAGTCTCCTGTTGCAACAAGGGCAAGAGACACATTGAGGGGGCCCTGCATTAAAGGAAGCTATAGTGTGCTACAACAGTGCAACAAAGAGGGTCAGGATAACAACCTGTTGGTAGCCATGAAATAGGATGTCTGTGCCAAATCCTTGCTTGCTGTAAGAAAAGAAAGAAGAACGAAGACAATATCATCAGCTTCAATGTGTAAACACCACAAAACTCTCAATACAACAAAACATCAAAGATTTGTACACAAAAAGTAAATTTTACTTACTACTTACAAATATCACAAGAGCGCCATCATTTTCTATACTACTGAAAATCTTCAACAACATTCACTCAAATGTTTCTTGCTATCCCCCATAGATCTGAGAAACAAGCCGATTTGCTTTTAGCTAGGCTAAACTTGTTACTAAGTTAAGCATCTAGTCAGCTAAAAGTTGAAATAAAGCATTCTCCTGGATTTAAAAAAAACAAAAAACAAAAAGAAGAAGAAGAAGAAGAAAAGATTTTTGAAGTCTAATACAAAATACAAAGAGTTGCCTGCCAAACTTAATCCTGTCAACATATTTAGGTTGGTTTAAATTTCCTTCAAAAAGGAACAAAACAACCCCCACCCCAAACTCAGGGCACAAACCTCAGTTCTTTATCACATTATTACACATTAACAAAAAGTAGGAAGCCCCACTACATTTGTTTTTTAACTTACAGACTCCAATTAAAGATAATACCTAGAAAGAGGAGTTTTCTAAGGGGAATGAGGATGCTTCCGACACTGGTCCCCAACAGGAAAGCAATTTTTAACTAGTTCTGTAAGACACTGAATAGGTTTTCTTCCCCTTCTCCTACCCCATATCCTTCCCAATAGGAAGTACCCCACCAGCCCCCACCCCCACCCTCCCTAGTCCCCAGACTCCTTCCCCTCCTGGTTGTCACTCTTGGCACCTGAAATCCCTGCTGCCCCATGTGATCATCAAGGGAGGATTTAACAAAAGGGACTGGGTCTGGCAGAGCTGTGCTAAGGAAGACTGTCAGAGCACCAGAGGTCTTGGAGGCAGTGTGACTTAAGTATGGTATTCTTTCCTGGTGGGGAGGGAAGGAGAGATCAGAGTGAAAGGTCCCTGTAAAATGACAACAGCCAATTCTGCAGCAAAGTAGCAAATGTCTCATCTGAAGTGGGAGGTGAGGGCTTTATATGAATCATACCCACAAACAAACACCCCATAAAATAATAAAAACATTCAATTGTGGTAACACATTTCCTAAGGGCTGTTTCTAAACAGGAATGGAGGGAAAGTAGTCTTGTTAGTTCAAAGCTGTAACAGGGAAGGAAACAAAGATACTAAAGATAAAAGAACATCTTTAAAGGAAGGAAACTCAGCTACCTCAAAGATGAGACAGAGCCCCCACCCACTGTGATCTCTCTTGAGTACTCTCTCTCTATCAAATTTGCATTTTTAAGTGTTAATTTAAAATCCAGCTTTATTTCCTAAAGCAATACATACACCTTTGTTAAACACATACTAATGCCTTTCTTCATTAGGTTCCTGATTTAGAGTAAATTACATGGTCTGCTACCTTGCAAAAAACTATATATTCTTTCAGATTTTCAGGAAGATCAACCTCCCAGCATTTCTTCTTAATTCAACATCTACAACAGATAAGTTAGCTATTTAAGTCTGTACTTTACTGTAACTAGGCAAGAGAATGTGCTACAAAATATATTTGTATGATTGTGAAGAACAGGAACCATAATTAAAATATTGTGGTTTACAAAGTGATTTCACTGATAATGTGATCCTAGGATTAAAAAATGAGTCTTTCAGACTGGTGGTAGTGCATACCTTTAATCCCAGCACTTGGGAGGGAGAGGGAGGAGGATCTCTGTGAGTTAGAGGCCAGCTTGGTCTACAAAGTGAGTTCCAGGACAGCCAGGGCTGTTACACAGAGACCCTGTTTTGAAAAACAACCCCCCCCCCCAAAACACAAAAATCTTAGAACTCCACTTTGTTAGCAAGGGTGTTGGTTATGGACCCTAGGCTTATCTTCCAGTGTTGCTGGTAGAAAAACAAAGTGCTATTTGGATATAAAATGAATTCAATTTAGAATGAATGAGAATATTACAATTCTCTCTCTCTCTCTCTCTCTCTCTCTCTCTCTCAAACAGCAACAAAAATCCCAAGGTCTTCAAAAGTCTTAGCCATTTTGTTTAAAAATCCTGCAAGATACCAAAAACACAGGATCTTATCTTCAAAAGGAGGAAAAAAAACACAGGACTGCTCCCCAGAGGCTATGATGTACCCATAAACAATCCAGAACCAGACAAGCAACATAGGCAACAGTGGGAAGTTTTAGGGTCACAACAAACACAAAGGGCTCCTGTTTACATAAGGCTTAATAGAAACATATGATGTGCTTTGTTAGTTTTCCCTAGTATCACAAAAAAGCAACTAAATGCACTTGGAGAAACACAAACAGAAGTAGATGAATACTACTATTTCAAAATTACCCCCCCCCCCAACTGTTGAGACACTGTTTCTCTATGTAGCCCTGGCTACCCTGGAACTCACTTTGTGGACCAGGCAGGCCTTGAACTGACAGAGATCTGCCTACCTCTGCCTCCCAGGTGCTGGAATTAAAGGTGTGTGTCACCACTCCCCAGCTTATATTTTCCCTTCCTAATAAAATCCAACAAAAGGCTAGAAGAACACACAGCATCCATACCAATCCTAGAGGAAAGAACACATCAACACTCATCCCAGATGGCCGAGGGACCACTCACCTCTTACTAACTGGGTGCATTTCACTACATCTGTGTGTGGGTGTTCAATGGTGATCTCAAAACCTGAAATGAAAAGCACTTTTTTTCCCAACTACTTACCACTACAATACTTGCCTGAGCAATGCAGCTCCCCATAAGATGTCTAGTATACTCTTCAGTATTAAAGAGAAATCCAAAGCCAGCATTAAAGCTTCTCATTGCTGACATGTCCATTACCCTCCAGAATAAATGATAACTAGTTTCTCATGTCTCAATAGGAAAACAGACAATTATTTAAAAAATATCATGGCCATCTTGATTTAAAATTCAGAGTTTCAATTCACCTGAGTTCAAATCATCAAATAATTATTATTATAGCAGCAGATTACACATTTTCTCCTTTTAACATTAAGAATCTTTGTTTCAGAAGGATGTGGGAAAAAATTTCTCATAAACACATCGGCTGCCAACAGCAGCATCAAAGAACTTTACATACAGCAGCTCTATTCATTTTACTGTTAAACCAAAGGAGCACAGCTATATCTCCTAATAAGAGTCATGCGGACAGGCAGGCCGTTTCTAAAAACAGCTTCAGAAACTCAAGGAAAAGGGTTGGAAAGTTTTCAATGAATATCCAATCAGCTCTTCCATATGGCAGGATATTTGCTTTTACTACTTAGTATCTTTAGAATGCTTAGTCTAAAATCTAACAAATGAGTAATCAGTGTTTAAAGGTGTATTTTATTTACATCTTTCTTGTAATTAACTAGCAAAATAATATTTCAAAGAGATGTTTTTAATGCACACTTTAATAGCATGCATCCATTCTGAGTTTACGAATGCATCCTAAGGCATGAACATCGTGCAGTGACTACTTTTGTTAGTGGTGCTGGGGATGGAACACAGCCCATGAACATGGAAGTTGAGAGTTCTTCTACCTGACTCCTACTTTCAGCTCCTATGTAATGCTTTCATACCATAAAAATACATCTATGTTTTATAATGTCATATTAATATCATGTTTGTAATACATAATTTTGTAATTAAGACGTTATGTCAAATAACTGGATTCTAACTTTCACTTTTGTATCTTTTGATAAAACTTAATTCATGTGCTTTAAATAAGTTACTTTTATAATAAAAATCTGTCAGCACATGTAGCTATGTTTCTATTTGTATTTTTCAGACTGGGTTACTATGTAGTACTAGAAGCCCTCAAACTCAGAGAGCTGCTTGCCCTGCCTCCTGAGGGCTGAGATATGTACTGAGGTATGTACTTACATTTCTATTTAACATTTGAAAATGGACTAGCAGTAAAATAAAAACAAAAAAATTTGCTATAATAGAGCAAATCTTATTCCATATATGAGAATGGGAATGTAAAAGGTAAGAAAACTGCCCCAAGGTTACAATGGTTGTCAGAAACTTAGATTTAAATTCGGATCTCCCCAGAGCTTGTATTTATCTGACCTCAGCCTGTTATCTAACATTCCTTTTCCCTTCTTTTCTTTTTTCCTTGGTTTTTCTTCATAGCCCTGGCTGTCCTGGAACTAGCTCTGTAGACCAGTCTGGTCTTGAAATCATAGAGCCTGCCTACAAGTGATGGGATTAAAGGTGTACACCACCACCACCTGGCCCAAAACTAGTTTTAAACAACTTTCTTCAATAAGAAGCTATTCTAAAATTTTTTGTTTAGAATATTACATTAGTGAACACAAAATGATATGAGCACATACCCAGTGTTTGTAGCATTATGGTTTCAAGTAAAACCAGTTCTTGAGTCTGCTGAAGATAAGCCTGTCAGACAAAAATGGTATTAGAGGTTTAGAATAAATAAAACACCACTAGAGTCCTAGACTGTTAGACCTCATGAGGATTATAGTTCAGTAGTTGCTTACAAATACAAGGCAGTAGTAGATGGAGCATGTTTGCTCTTGGGACAAGTCTAATACAGATAGTAAACAAAGCCAAAGGAACAAATAAAACAGAGTGCCACGAAGCAGGGTAGGTTAACTGAATAAAGACCCACAATCTGCACAGCCTAAGTTCACAGGTATTATTGCCTCTAGACACCAAGGACAGGAGCATCAAGCCAAGGAAGAGCACTTAACTCAAACCTGACTTTGAAGAGAAAACTTACCAACCACATCTGTGAATTAGTTTTAGAATTAACTTCCCTAGAAAATGCAAATCTTAAGTCCTAGATCAATGTCATCCATTCACCATAGAGACACAAATTATCACAGAATCTTTCCTTAAAATCCAAGAACCAATCTCCCTTCTCAAAGCTCTTGGAAGAAAGAATATAGAAATTTTCCTGCTACCCCAGTTTTAGGACCCTAACAATTGACCCAGACGAGAAGGAAGTCAATAGATCATATTTGAGATGGGCATGGTGGCTACTCTCTTGGGGGCTGAGGCAGACTAACTCAGTTTGAGGCTAGCCTAGACTAACTATATACAGAACTAGACCCAGGTAGATCTGTTCTAAATATATGCACACACACGAGTGCTCATTTTTCTGAGACCACACTAACCCCATATCCCAGACAGTGAAATCATCTTTAATGTCACTAAGCTGATTTTTAAAACATTAGCATGTACATACTTGAATGAGTTTATTCTAACAGCAACTATGAGAACTACTGTCAAACAATTACAATTGCTTATTATCCAATGCATGCAGTGGTTATTTTGTTCATTTAAAGATCAGCATTAACTTATCAATCTTCTATCAGAGTCTAAACTTAGGACTTTAAACTTGTCCTAAATCAAATGGAACTAACAAAACTTGGTAGCCACTAAGTGGGTGAAGAGTCCAATTGAATGACTTACCTACCCATAATGCTAGAAAAATTGCAAAGGCCCACACTTGCAGGTCTCATTTTAGGATCCCACAGAACTTGAGAAGGGTAACCAAACTAGAATAAACCAGAGTCTTACTTCCTCTGTTTCACTGGAGAGTTACTCAACTTCTGGTCTTGGACACACCTACCAAGAGGCCACAAAGGACCTATCCTTTCCACTGCAGGTATACTGTGAGGATAAGTCACTGTGGAGACTTGATTAGGAATGGCCCCCAAAGACTAATGTGTTTGAGTGCTTGGTCCACAAGGAGTGGCACTATTAGGAGGTGTGGTCTTGGTGGTGCAAGTGTGTCACTGTGGGGGTGGGCTTTGAGGTCTCATATGTGCTCAAGCTATACCCAAGTGCACCACAGTTTTTATTTCTGCTGCTGTGGATCAAGATGTAGGACTCTCGGCTTCTCCTCTAGCACCGTGTCTGCCTGCATGTCGCTGTGCCCTGCCATGATGATAACAGACTAAAGCTTTGAAACTGTAAGCCAGTCCCAATTAAATATTTTTCTTTATAAGAGTTGCCACGGTCATGGTGTCTCCTCATAGCAATAGAGACTCCAAGACAGTCTCTGAATTCGCAAACACTTCAAAATAACTGTGAACCAAGTAGCATGATTCAAAGCAATATAATTCAGGATGACATACAAATTCATGAAGCATAAAAAAGCATTTGTCAGATAGTTCCTAGATTCAAATTTCTAAAGAAAATGAAAACAACAGAACAACCCCCATTTTTACATACATCACATTTTGTATCCAGCAGTGGTTCTAGGGGGTGAAGACAAGCGTGTGCTACTTTGATAACATGTTCAAGCTTTCGAGCCTGTTCTTCCACTTTTGCAGCCAAAAACAATGCAGTAGGTGATATTATCTGCAGAAGAGATTTTTATAACTGGTCATTTAGGGAATAGTCTCTACTTCCTGGGGCTGAGCAGGCAAAGAAAGGAATATATTATTACAGCATTAAGTATTCATTGGCATCGATTTAAAAGTAAGACTGAAGTAAAAGCTTTCCCGTTCTTTGGTGCTGGGGACGAAACCAGAGATCTGCACGTTTAAACACATGCTTTACCATTGAGTTGTGTATCTCCAGCACTGATCTAGTTAGTTCTCATTCTTCTCTCCTCTCCCCAGACTAGTGCAGCAATAGGACACACTGCGCATCAATGTGTGTGACACTGATATTCTCATGATTTAGTGCCACAGGACCATTAGTACAAGTTTTAAGTCATTATTCACTACATTTTTTTGCAAATAAGATTTTGACCTTGGTTAAGTAAAAAAACAAGCAAACAAACATTAGTATTAGTGTGTATACAGTGGAAGTAAAGGAAAAAAATAACACAAAGTGATACCACAGCTTTAGAAGAGTTGAGACAAAAGACCAAGCACACTGCACTGCCTCTTCTTTCAGCTCAGCCACTTCTTCTAAATGCTTCCTAAGTCCAGTACCAGCTTCCTGTTTGGCTAGGAGTCATGCTATCTTATTTATGGGGCACAACACAAAGAATTCTAAAAATGAACAGGCTACATAGAATCTTCATTACTTCACTACACTAATAAAAGCAGTTAAAAAAAACTGAACCAAAACCAAACCAAAACAAAACAAGAGAAACATAATAAAGACAGAGATCAGAACCTTTGCCAAGAGGAGATCTGGAAAGTTCCTACCCCATAAAGTATAGTAAGGCAAGTTCTTGGGGTATAAGTACAGATAGCACTAATTACACTGGCATTGATGATAGAGACACACAAATTTCAACAACTACCTATTGCTTAAATTATTATAAACCAAACAATTACTGACTCAGAAACCAAACAAACTAAAGATTCTTTTTTTTTTTTTTAAAGATTCTACACAAAGGAGCTGGAGACATCTCAGCAGTTTAGAGTACTTAACTCAGGTTCATAGCTGTCTCCTTTAACAGATACAGATCCCACCAGCCTACAGTTAATGAGCAAAACCACATAGGACTGGAGATGGCTCAGCAGTGTAAGAACACTGACCACAGGTTTGATTCCCAGCACCCATATAGTATCTCACAGTCTGTCACTTTAGTTCCAGGGGACCTGATGCCCTCTTCTGGCCTCCAAGCACACAGGTAGTACATGTAATATATGAAGATAAAACACCCATATATATAAAAAAACAAATCTTAGACAACAATAAAGAGCTTTCCAAACCTAACTGACAAACTGATCTTAAAATTCATATGGAAATAAAGTATCAAGAAAAACAATCTTAGAAACAAAACGAAGCCAAACAAATACAAACCCAACTTGGGAGACTCACACTCTTGAATTCCAAACCCACTCTAAGGCTATATTAGTTTTAAGTGTATGGCTGGGGTGGGAGCAGAGATTCTGATAAAGTCTCACTAGTGCTACCAAAAGTGGACACTTCACCTGGCTCGTGTAGAATATCTAAAAGTCTATGAGATAATAAAGGCAAACATAACACATTGAACTGGGATAACTGTATAGTAACACGTAAAAAAAAAGAAAAACATTTACTTTACATCATATACAATAATGAACTGAAAAAGTGTTAAAAGCCTAAGAGCTGAATCTGTAACAGAAATAAAAGCCAGATATGCAGTCCATGTTTATACTCCAATCACTTGGGAGGCGAAAGCAGGAAGACCAAAGGTTCAAGGTTATCCTCAGCTACATGCGATGCTGGGACACATGAGACCCTACAGCAAATAAATATTCTGTTTAATTCAGCAAAATAAAATTTATTTTCACATTATTTATTTACTTAATTTCCATACTGAAATTAAATCTAGCCTCCCACTTTTTACTTTTTTTGTTTGCCTTTTGAGACAGGATCTCATTGTAGCCAGAGCTGGCCTCCAACTTTTAGATCAAGAATTTGAACTGCCTATGTGCCTGCGTCTACCTCCCAAGTGCTGAGATTCCAGGCCTGTATCCACATATTTTTTTAAGGAATGTCCTTATCAACTGTTACAACGTAGATAAAACACTGGACTAATATAAGTAAGATGGGCGAGCATTGCAAACTCCCACTTACACACACTCTGTAGACAGGGCAAGAGTAAGGAAAGTAGGCAACAAATGGCTACCAAGGAGAAGCCACAAAATAAATTCTTAAAAATGAAAAACAAAACCAAAAATCAAAACCACAAATATTAGTGATCCTAAATTAGTCAAGGAGTTTTCCCATATGACACCAATATCACATGAACACAAGCACAGAAAAAACTAAAAATAAATGAACTGGATGCTTATGTTACAAATAATATTATCAAGAAAGTGAAAAGCACAATACATATAGAATATTTATATAAATAATACATATACACACAAAGCCCCAGGCCCCTGAAATGTGGAGCTACTAGAACTCTCAAACAAAATCTGAGAAGGTAAAATGGTGCGACTACTTTAGAGAACAGTTTGGCAGGTTCCATGAAATGTGCTTCAAGAAGCCATCGAAGACACTGAAGTCCAGAATTAACACACTGCACTCGAGTGCAGCACTGCTCTTCACAAAGCTGACAAGTGAAACAAAGCAAACGTTCACTACCCAATAGGAGTGCCAGAGCAGGCACATGACAGATCAAACAGTCAGCCGTGAGAGGAATCAAGTTCCAATGGTGCCACACCACAGGCTGCTCTTCGAAAATAAATTAATTTTAGCATTAACTAGATCTGCATAGAGGGAAGGGGCTGGTGAATATGGGGCAGTTTCTTTTGAATAGGAAGAAAATACTGTAAATTGGTATTGTGATGGTGGTATAGCAGGATATGCTTTGAATTAAGGGCTCTAAGTGAATGAAGTTTATGGTCTGTGAATTATCTCTCAACAAAGATACTTTTAAATAAAGCTAATGTTAGTTGGGCATGGCAGTGCATGCCTTTAATACTAGCACTGGAGACAGAAGCAGTTCAAGGCCACCCTGGTTTACACAGTGAGTTATGGGCCAGCCAGAGATACATAATAAGACTCTGTTATTAAAAATAAATAAGGGGCTGGAGAGATGGCTCAGAGGTTAAGAGTACTGACTGTTCTCGAGGTCTACATGGTAATGAGATCTGGTGCCCTCTTCTGGCAGGCATGCATGCAGGCAGAACACTGTCTACATAATAAATAAAGCTTTACAAAATAAATAAATAGCAACCAATGCTAAAGATATCAGATCTCTTCAACAGCTGGAGTAACACAAAATAACTATTAACATCCACCTTGGAGAGGTTCAGGAAAACTCAGCCTCTTTGAGTTCTTGAACATTTAATGACTGCCCATTTTTTTCTCCCTGTCCTCCAATTTGTTTTTTCATGCACAACTCATTTATCAGTTTTCACTATCTTCAGATTTAAGCAGAAAATAATAATCTTTCCCATTTAGTAGAAAACTTCCATTTTAAAATTAGTTTTATTGCACAGATGTTCCTACACTACAGCTAAGCCCCAACAGTTTGGGTTGATACACCAGTATCTACAGGCTAAAACAGACTTATTAAACAGAAAAACTCACCCACAAATAACAAGACACTTGGAAACCACTTAAAAATAAAATTTATTCAGATAAGATGATCTTAGCTCAATAACCTAAGATCAATATAAAACCTGTTAAATCTGATAGTTTATATTTCTGTCCTATTTTAGGCCTCTAAAATGAGGCATTTTACAGTGATACAGTATCTCAATTCAGATGTTACTATTTCAACAAGATAAAATATAGGCCTATTAAAACAAAAGTAGGAATTATTTCATACTGCTTGAGTTCTGTAATAAATCCATTACAAACCAGTTTCCTAGTGCAATCACCACATTTTGTGTGTTACATAGCCACCTTCGGTTAGTGCCTATCTGATCTCCCAGTTTCAATCCAGGAAGATAAAGCAAACAGTCACCAGTGTTAACCAGTTCAAATTACTTGTTCCTAGTCACTTCACTTCAGACTTCTAACCTTTAGGTAATTTTCTTCTCTCCTACTGGGATACTTCCTTAAGGGACACCACTGTTTACACCGTCTATATTTACAAGAAAAATGGCAAATCCCATTTTTGCTTGTCACATTGTTATGATCTCAATCTGTAGAACATTGGTCCTGCTGTTTTGAAAATGAATGCACAAGCAACCAGCTTTACATCTTTATTATTAGCATACTTTGTACAGTAACCTCATAGTTAAAACATTAACAATGAATAAGCAATGTCATAGCCTTAAGAGAAAACCTTGAACTTCAGCAAGCACAGCTGTCATAGGGAGGCTTGCTAAGGTGTCTTGTAACTCAGGGTCCAGCCAGTTGTGGATACCAGTGGAGGTAGCTCATGAATCACACTTCCTACACAATGCCTTTGACAGTGCTTTCAGTGGGAAATTTCAGGGGTACAAAGATGCCCCAAAAGCAGATACCTAAGACATGGAGTTCACATCTGAGTTAGTCTTGTTTTTGTCACTGTAGCAGAGTGACTTCAGACAAGAAATTTAACCTTCATGATTCCTTATTTGCATGAAAAAAGAAAGAGGACACCAACAACAAATAAGTGTTTAGGACACACACACACACACAAATCTAAGGATTAAGAGAAGTCCCTCTTCAGAATAGTATGGGACAAACCTTCTATAAGGCCAGTGTGGTTTGGGTTCCAGGTCAACCAAGGCTACACAGAGAAACCCTGTCTCAATAAAGAAAAAAAAAAATCCCCCTTTCATGAAATAATTAAATAAACCAGAAGATAATGAGAGCAAAATTAAATTGATATTTGATTAACAAATTTACAATAAAATTAAAAGGTAAGTACAAATACCTATCTATCAAGAAATGTGGAGCATGCTCAAATAAGCTTTGTAACACAGTAGTTCATGAAGGCAGTGTCTACTGTTATACTAACTTTAAAGTTA